TACAATGTAGGAGTATACAGAATCTGAAGTCTCAGTAATAGAGTGTAATATTGTAGATGACATTCATGAACTTGATATTACTTCCTGTGATAATCTTGAAATATAGAATGTTTGCTCCTTGTTTATGAGGAAATTCTGTTTTACCTTTATTGAAACACAAGTTGACGGACACAAGGCAATTTATCATGATGGTGCTAATAACATAAAAGTAGATATCAGCGTGTGTTTCAAAGTCATGTTACTTGTTCTGGAGATAGAGCATTGGTATTTTGTTTTCTTACCTCTTTGAAAGGTGATTTGTTGCAGTTATAAACAAACAATGAACATATGCAAATATATCTGAAAAGAATGCTTTGAACTGCTGGCAAAAAAATATTCGGTGTATTTTTAATCAAATAGGGTTTTATTTTTCTTGTAAAAGTCTGGAAGAATGATATATGGTACATACTATAGATGGATGAACCTTGCAAATATCATGCTAAGGAAGGAAGCCGGACACAAAACGGCATGTTTTCAGTTGTATGAAATATCTGAAATAGGCAAATCCATAGAAACAGAAAGCAGATTAGTAGTTGTGAGGGTCTGGGACATTGGGATGACAGAACATGGATGTATAGGGGTATACAGCATTGAGTATGATAAACCCACTTATATACTAGAGTAATCTTGATGCTTTTAAAGATTCATATTATTATGTATTTGGTTTACATTTATTTATTCTTTCACAGTGAATTGAAGACTCCCAACTAAAGTAGTAGTTACATTTTCCCTTGCATTTTCAAATCGTGGTCTAGGGATTTCTGGGGGTTGATGGTTAAAATCCTGGGAACGGATTAGTTTACCAGTGAAAAGATTGTGGATTGAGAATAGTTTTCTGGCTTGGCCTTGAAATCATAGAGTAATAGTATGTTTTGTTTTGTTTGTATTAGAAGAATATATTTAAAGGCTGGCAGGAAAAGGGAAGCTAGTGGTGGAGACTGGGTGAATAATCAGAGAAGGAGGACCATTGCTGAAATAGAAGGGGCTGCTCAGAGGTCAGGTGGAATTGGGAGAGTGAAATTTGGCTGTTAAGATCTTCACTGACCACTGCCAGAGCGCTTGGAGTTGGGCAGTGGACGTGAAGTCAGATCTGTGATTGGAGGAGTGAGTGAATGGTACCCAGTGCAAGTCTCCCAAGTAGAGGCTGTGGAGGAGGGGAGGAGAAAATAGGGTAGTTGTTAGAATCCTCAAACCTCTGCTTTTACCTGCAGCTTCCTCAGCATCCGAGAACCAGGCTGTCATGTTGGGCATCAGTAGTGGGCCTCCTGTGTAGCTCTGAGGTTCGGCTTGGGCTTGCCTCGAACTGTGAAGTCCATTTCATCTTACTGTGGCTCTCACTTCTGTTCTCTGTTTTTGGAGTCATCCTCCTGTGTGACTTCTGTCTCCACTCTCTACGTGTAACTCTTATTTAAGGAACTTGCTTCAAGTTCACTGAAAAATGGAAACCATCAAAAGGGAGCGTTTTTGTGCTTTACCACATGTTTGCTTACCTACTTGCTATGGAACATTAATGTTCCGTTCTCTCCTGCTTCTGCTCTTCCTCCTTCTGACTAGGGATACATTTATTTTTAGCTCCTCACCTTGAACACATTGCTTTAGCACTTCTCCTTTTTCTTTCTTGCATCAATTTTTCTCTCTACCTGATTATTATTGCAACTATGTGTAACTTTTCTCATCTTAAAAAAAAAAAAGCAAACTCTCTTAGCAGTCCCCATCACATTTCTTTTGCTTCCCTTTATCATAAAATTCCTAGAAAGAGATATATACATTTTGTTTCCAGTTCTTCTGTCTTAATTTACTTCAGTCAGGGTTTTGTATTCATCACTCCAGAAAAACAGCTCTTGTCAAGGTCACTGATAACCACCATGTTGCTAAATCCAGTTGTCAATTCTCAGTGCTCATCTTACTTGGCCTTTCAGCAGCATTTGACATGGCTGATAATTCCCTTTTCCTACATGAGCTTTTTTCATTTGGCTTTTGGGACATCACAGTCTCTTGTTTGCCTCCTGTCTGCTGACTGCTGCTTCTCAGTTAGCTATTGCTTATTCCTTCCATCAAGTTGACTTCTAAATATTTGAGAGCTTTGGGGCTTGGTTCTCCGACTTCTCTGGCAGTACTCACTCCCTAGGATAGAAATCTCATTTGGCCTAGGGCTTTGAATATCTATCTCCTTATGTCCCCTCTGCCCCTCACCTTAAAAAAAAAAAACTCCTAGTGAGGCTCCTTCCCTGGACTGTACAGATTTTTAAATCCAGCCCTTTCCACCTGAGTGAATAATAAGTATTTCACATTCAGCATTATAAACTGTATTTTTTACTTCCAATGCCAAATAATTTTACTCATAATCTTTCCTGACTCTGGAAATACCCACTATCTCTTTCCAGGTTCATAGGCCAAGCCTTATCCCTGCAAGCCCTGTCAAGTCTGTTTTCAAAACATACCCAGAACTTGATAATTTTTGATATTTCTGCTACACAGGTCCACGTGACATCTCTTCTAGATGATTGCAGTACACTCCTAACTGGTCTGTCTGCTTCAGGCCTTAACCCTTCTAAGTTATTTTCCACATTGTACCTGGAGTGAGCCTTTTGTACTCTGTCAGGTCCTATCACCCGTCTGCTCAGCATGCCAGTGGTTTCTCATATCACTCAGGGTAAAAACCAACACTTATTTCACTGTTTGTGAGAACTGACAGTTAATATGAACTGCCTGACCTCATCTCTCACTTCTTTCCTCTTACTGTAGGAACACACCAGAGCTTTCCCGGTCTCAGATCCTTGCTGTGACTGTTTTCTGTGCCTTGAGTACGCTCCTTCCAGATTTCTGCATACCTTGCTTTCTTTTCTCCCAAAGGCCTTCCTCAGATGTTACCTTATTAGTGAGATGTGTCCCTATTCCCCTAGACCTGCACCAATTGTCATTTGCCCTGCTGACACTCCCTGTTCCTCTAATCCTGCACCCATCATCATGTGCCCCACTGACACTCCCTATTCCTCTAATCCTGCACCAGTTGTCATGTGCCCCGCTGACACTCCCTATTCCCTTAATCCTGCACCAATCATCATGTGCCCTGCTGACACTCACTATCCCCCTAAACCTGCACCAAGCAGCATTTGCCCTGTTGGCTATTGATTGGCTGTTTTCTTAGTTGAATATAAGCTCAGTGAGGGCGAGAACTTTTTCTTTGCTCTTCTGTTCCCAGTTCTAAAAAGAGTGCCTGGTGAACGGTGAGCTCCCAGCAAGTAATTGTGGAATGAATTGACTTTCAGGTAGCTTCTGACATAAATATTAATTCCATTGGTCATATGATCCCTCTGACTTTAACCTTGTAAGTCACAGAGTTTCTGCCCAGTAACCCTTCTTTCCAGTGCTCTTGCAGCCCTAATCAGACTTCACCATTCTGTTGTAAATCTCCCCCATCCTTAACATCTTTAACCCCTTCTGTTTACATTTCTTCACCAATAACTGGTTTCCATTTTGACCCATTTTCCACACCCTAAAGGATTTTGGGAGAAAGTAGTGATGGTGTTTACATTCTGTTATCCGTTTGGAGTTCTTGATGGGCTCCCAGCAGCAGGCCAATCTGATGCTTTCTTTTTTCTTTTTTTTTTTTTCAATCTGATGCTTTTGATTCTTGGCTCCTTTTTGGTCACTGTCCATATTGGCTGTCTCTTGTCACTCTCCCGCTTGTATTGGAAGAATTGTGACATGAGGCTCATGGTCATTTCCATTCTCAGTATGTCATTTCCTAGAGGACATTGTATAGTGGCTGTTCATACTTAGATCTAAGGTCATTTTTAGTCATGTGGCCAACAGCTGTTTTTCAGAAATTTACATATGGGGTGCTCCCTAAACTGTCATTACCTGGGATTGTTTCATTTGAGTTTTCAAACTCTTTTCACCCTGATCTATAGCTCTAATAAGACTTTATTTCTTGGTCTTTGACTGTAATGAGATCTCCTGTTCCTTGACCCCATCCTCTTTTTCCTGTCATCCCCATAAAATTAAATGGAATTTAATTGAATTTAAAAAGCATCTTGTTCAACTGCTGTTTATTTTGATATGTGGTATATTTATTGAATGATTACTCCCCCCCCCGCATTGATTTGTGATGCCTCCTGTATGTAGAACCAAATTATATAAATTTTTATATAATAGGATGTTTCATTTATCTGTGTTTGAGTCATCCTTAAATGTTTTTGAAGCTTTATAGTATGTTTTGATATTTGGAAGGGATTGTAGTGTCTCATTGACTTTAGTTATCAGAATTGTTGGTATTGGTCTAGCTTTTTACACTTCCATATGATTCTGAAGACAATTCAGTCAAGTTATGAAAAGAAAATCTTCATTGGACATATTTTCCCTGCAATGATATTAAAAACTGGGTTATTTGAATTAGTTTATATAAATTAGCATTTTATCAAAACTTTATTCTAGTAAAATATCTAAAAAGTTTTATATTTTAATTTTTATTTTTTTATTAAAGATTTTTTATTTATTCATGAGAGACACAGAAAGAGAGAAGCAGAGACACAGGCAGAGGGAGAAGCAGGCTCCATGCAGGGAGCCTGATGTGGGCCTTGATTCCAGGACTCCAGGGTCACGCCGTGGGCCAAAGGCAGGAGCTAAACTGCTGAGCCACCCAGGGATCCCATCTAAAAAGTTTTAGATTGAATCTATTTTTTTTTTCAAGAGTTTTATTTATTTATTTGACAGAGAGCACAAGCAAAGGGAGTGGCAGGCAGAGGGAGAGGGAGGCTCTCTGCTGAGCAGGGAGCTGGATGTGGGGCTCGATCTAGGACTGTGGGATCATTACCTGAGCCCAAGGCAGACACTTAACTGACTGAGCCACCCAGTGCCCCAGATCAATCCTTTTTGCCTATAAGTACCAAAGATGTATCTTCTATAATTAAAAAAAAAGATACGCAACAAATGTAAATGATCTGTTAATTTTTTTCCAGATATGTTTCCTTCTTTTTGCCATTCTCTACATTGTTTCCTACTTCATCATCACAAGATACAAGAGAAAATCAGGCAAGTAGAAACATTATAATTAAAAATACTTAGATCATCATGCCAGCTGGTCTGTGGTATATGCGCCATATCGTGCCTGTCAGTATGGTAGTATGATATATTCAGTATGGCAATGATTGAAGGATGTAATAGCCTGGCGCTAAGAGTAAACAGGAACCTCCAGGGAATCTGACTGCTTGTGGGGTCATCATTCTGTTTGACCTGAGCCCATGTTTACCACCATTATTAGGTCTAACCAAGAATAGTGTGGGGCTGTTCAGTATCTGGGAAATTTCTAGAGTTTATGAGGATATATGGGTTTTGTGACTGGCTCTGAGTTTGAACATGCCTACCCCCCCCCATCCTTTCTCTATTAGACTATCTGTTCTTTCTCTAAAGTGATATGGAATGTAGATTCTCCATGATACCATTTAATATTCATTTATATATTATATTGTCTTTTTATTATTTCATTATTATTTAGGGACCACTAAATCTTTACTCTTTTTTATTTTTAAAATTTATTAGTATTATTTATGATTTTATTTATTTGGGGGAAAGAGAGTGCACACATGCACATGAGCAGGGGGAGGAGCAGAGGGAGCAGGAGGGGGACAAGCAGACTCTCCACTGAGCAGGTAGCCTGGCATGGGGCTCCATCCCAAGACCCTAGGATCATGACCTGAGTCAAAGTCAGGTGCATAATTGACTGAGCCATCTAGGTGCCCCTATTCTTTTTTTAAAAATGAACTTTGTGCTAATTAATTCACAGATTCTTATGCCAAGGTTTTGTAAGGACCTAAACAGTTGCCTTACTGCCTTCTGTTAAACCTCAGCTATTTTCTGTAAATAAACAAGAAAACAGAATTTTCTACCTGTATGCTGGGCTAACAGTAGTGCCATATGAATATTTATGGATTCTATATAATAGGAACTCTATATTATAATATCAAACTTATTAGACTTTTGAAAGCAATTAGGAAATAGTGCTTGCTCTAGTGTTTTAGGTTGGCTCTATGGTTACATTAAAATATTTCTTGGAATCTATAATCTCTCAAAAATTTGAAGACCTACAGATTCAACACAGTATTTTAGCTATTTTTAAAGATGTTTTGGCATCAGGTTTTAATGATTATTGACATAGAAGGAGGAGGAGGAGAGAATTAATATAAAATGCATCATTTTAGGGGATCAGGGGATGATGATCAGGAAAATTGGAGATTTATTAGATGATTTAGATGATGTTTAAAGATTTTATTTATTTATTTTGAGAGAGAGAGTATGAGTGGTGGCAGAGGTAGAGAGAGAGAGGGAGAGAGAGAGAGAGACCCAAGCTGACCCCCATCCCCACACCTTTTGCTGAGCATGGAGCATGATGCAGGGCCTGATCCACGACTCTGAGACCATGACCTCAGTGGAAATCAAGAGCCCGATGCCCGACTGATTTAGCCACCCAGGTGCCTCTATTAGATGATTTTTAGAGTAATAGCAGAGAGGGGTGATGAGTACTCTGGACTTAGTACTGAGCGTGGGGGGAAGAGTTGAAATGTATATGAAGCTATTAAAATATTCTTCAGTAGTTGATGGTTGATAGAGAGTAGGTACAACAGTATACAAATTAATTGGGACTGTTATTTTATGGTCCTTTTGGTTGTAAAGCTATTTTGGGCAGCCTGTAATTAAGAATGGAGATTAGGGTTAAGAGGATGGCTCAAACGCACCATTGACATGGAAGCAAATGGATAGTCATAATTACAGAGACCTAGAGAGAGAGCCTTTGAGGACAACCTCAGTTAGGTATTGAGGAGAAGGAGGGGCCAGGGGGTGTTGTGCAATATTCTTGTAATTGGATTATATTTTCTTTAGCTGGTAAATTAATTAATTAATTAATTAATTAAGATTTTATTTATTCATGACAGAGAGAGAGAGAGAGAGAGAGAGAGAGAGAGACAGGCAGAGGGAGAAGCAGACTCCATGCAGGGAGCCCGATGCAGGACTCGATCCCAGGTGTCCAGGATCAGGCCCTGGGCTGAAGGTGGCTCTAAACCGCTGAGCCACCTGGGCTGCCCTAGCTGGTATATTTATGTAGGAAGACAAAGAGAAGGCTAGTAGCCACGAGAGAGAGGGAGCTGAGTGAGTGCTGGAGCAGAGGCCATCTGCTACTTGTAAAAAATACAAAACTTGGTATCTTTCTGTTTATAACTTGGACAATAATTGTGAAATAGTATGGAGGCAGTAGTATCTAATGGTTTAGAATGGTCCAAGAGAATCTTTGTTATTATCATTAATAATGACAAATTTGAATTGTGGAAAAGTACATGAGTCTTAAGATTTTGAATTCTAACTTTATAATAAAGATTTTTGTTGGATAGTATCAACTAAAAGTTTTTGTTCATTAGCAATTACAATTTCACTTATGTTGTATGACAGTAAACTTGATTCTGGTCCTAAGGTTCTACTAAGTTTTATTTTCTGGAGCAATAAATAAATATATGGAAAGTTTCAATTTGCATATGATAGTTTTGTTAATTAGGATTTTGGTTAATCACAACACTCTACGTTCTGTCCCATGTGAGTTAATAAGTTTTAAATTTAGATCCATGCTGAAATAAACAGTGCTTTTTGAAAGTTCTTTTCAGTAATTCATTAAGTTTCTGTTTTTGTTTGTATTTCCTGATAAATTAATGAAACATTTTATTGAAGATAAAAAAATTAATACTTTAACCATTTTTACAGATGAACAAGAAGATGAAGATGCCATAGTCAACAGGATTTCGTATGTATTTAAAAATTCATTTGTTCTGTTTCTAATTTTGAGGTTATAAATTCTTCAAATTTTATTCACACTTTAGGGCATAAATGTGTAAAAAATTCACCTAAAGTAATACACTGCTTTTATTAATATTAACTCTATCTTTGGGAGCGCATATAAACAAATATAGGGTTGACTCTTGAACACTGTGGGGGTTAGGGACTTTGGCCCTGAGCGGTTGGAAATTGTGTATAATTTTTTACTTCCCCAAAATTTAACTACTAATAGCCTATTGATTAGAAGTCTTACTGATAACATAAACAGTTGACAAATACATATTTTGTATGTCATGTGTATTATGTATTCTTATAATAAAGCTAGAGAAAAGAAAAAAATTATTAAGAAAATCATAAGGGAGAGAAAATACATTTACAGTACTGTATTATATTTATTTTAAAAATTCACTTATAAGTGTACCTGTGCATTTCTAAGTCATATTGTTCAAGGATCAACCATACATGGAAAAATGAGGATTGATTGTTTCCTGTTAAAATTTGCTTGTTTGAGGAGCTGACATTTTACCTTCAGACATTTTAACCAGGAAGTGGGCTTATTTATGGTTGGGAAAGTTGCCAGGCCGTAAGAAAGAAAACTCTTAACTGTTTAATGATCTGCTGAGAAGACTATGACAGTCTTGGAATAGGGAGGAGACATCTGTTCTAGTTAATTGAACATCTACCTGCTATGAGCAGGGAGATGGACTCAGATGGTTCTTTAGTTTCCTGTAGCTCTCTTTCTGCATTTATTATTTATTTATTTATTTATTTATTTATTTATTTATTTATTTATTTATTTATTTATTTCTGCTTATATATGCTGGTGATATATGATTGATACACCCTTTAAATTTTTTTGAGGTATTAAACTGGATGGGAAGCAGTAAATTTGTTTCTATAAGATTTTGCTTGACTAAAATTTGAGATCACACAGTTGTAGCTACATTGGAGAGATTTTTATTCCAGGATTCTTTTTTTTAATTGATACTTGAAAAGTTTTTGTCATAGTCCTGAATTTATAGAAAAGTTAGAAATATAACAAAAAAGAGCTGTTTTGCCCCCAGAACTATTTGAGAATTTGGTGACCTGGTTCTCCATTTCCTCAGGATACTTTTGTATATAATGCCTATAAATGGTACATTCTTCTATTGTCTACCATACAACCATCAAAATAATAAAATTGATGCTGTATCACTCATGCCCCATTCAGATTTACCAGTTTTTCCAGTAATGTCTTGTTGCAGATGGACCCCGTTCAGGATCACACACTGCTTGTAGTTGTCATGTCCCTTTAGTTCCCTTTAAATTGAAACCCTTCTTCAATATTTACCTGATCTTGATACTTTTGAAGATTACAGGCTAGTTATTTGGATTGTTTCTTCATGATTAGTTTTAGATTATTCATCTTTTGCCTGGGGCAAGAAGGAGGTGGGGGAAAGGTCAAAGAGAGAAAGAGAGAGAGAAAAAAAAGAGAGAGAAAGAGAGAGAGAGAGGGGGGCTTCCTGTGCTAATGCACTCTTATGTACACTGGGATATTACTCAGCCATAACAAGGAATAAAGTACTGACACATGCTATAACTTGTAGGAACCTCAAAAACATCATGCTAAGTGAAAGAAGCCAGACACAAGGCCACATAGTGTCTAACTCCATTTACTAGCATTTCCAGAGTAGGTAAATTCATCAGTGTCATATTCATGGTTACTAGAGACGGAGGGGAGAGCAGAATGGGGAGCAACTGTTTAATGAATATAAGGTTTTATTTTGAGGTGATGAAATGTTCTGGAACTAGAAAGTGGTGGTGTTTGCACAACACTGAATACACTTAAATACCACTAAATTGTTCATTTTAAAATGGTTAATTTTATGTTATGTGAATTTCACTTCAATAAAAAAGTACTTTCAACTGATAAGTGACTTTAATAGGTCTGATTTAATTCATAACTGAACAGTGAATATAAATAGACCTTGCTTTATTAGATTTGGTAATTTAAATGATTTTAAATGCCCTAGGGAAAACATCTGTAACTTTATACTGGGAATTCTTGCTCTGTGGGTTTAAAACTTAGGTCTATTATTTGATTTAAATTTATAGAATTAGGGGTCTTAGTTTTATTCCTAACACCTTGATATTTGAGAAAATCCTTAAGTGATTGATCATTTTTCTGTGTCTAAATTACTGTCTAAATAATTCAATTATCTCAAAAAGCTTCAGTGAATCTCAGACTGAGTAAAGGGCAGATACTAATTCTTTCCCAGTGAAATCCTCTAGGGATGAAGTGAGTACCTACCTGTGAGATGTGTGCCACTCTCCTCTCTGGTCTGTACTCCAGTCTTGGTGGTAAATCTATGTACATACATTTGTAGATTTGTCAACAGACCAGAGCACATCACTTAGGCATTACCCTGCAGTGTATTCTATGAAACAGTGGTTGTGCCTCGTTTCCTTTTCCTTTTTTTTTTTTTACACACATTACAAATCCCAGATAACCTTTATTTAAATATTTCACAAACAAGTTACAAGTTTCTTTGCAACTACATGGTAAATCAAATGTTAATGTATAGCTCAGGAACTGTAAACAATTCAGCAACTAGGGCCCAAAGGAACTGCATCCATAATAGAAATAAATATTTTAAAATGATCAACTTTTTGTGCCTTGTTTCCTTGTGAGTAGTCTCTGGAGCCCTGATCTCCCCTTCTGCTTTCAGCAGTTCTGCTTCCACCTCTGCTGTTGCTACCAAATGTCTGAAGGCTTTGTGTTCTCCTAGCAGGTGGTTCCTGCATCAGGTGACTGGAAGAGACATCCGATTTTTGCAGGCAGATGGGTGTGCACATACAATAAAGACAGGAGAAGGAGCAGGGAGGAGGGCACCTGAGAGAGAATCAGGGTTCATCTGTTCCCTAGCCCCTCACACCAGTGATGACTTTGGCTTTCACTGCCTTTTTCCCCCTCTTGTGTGATAGAATGAGTGAGAATGGAAGAGTAAGGCAGATCTGGGTTCAAATTCTGAACTCAAGATTAACTTGAGGTCAGAAGAGATTGAGAAAGATTTATTTTCTCTCTGTGTGAAGGAGAGCTGCCACTTACTTTGTTGTGCTGTTGTATGGATTAAATCACATCTGCCAAACATTCCTGGGTTGGTGCTTAGTGCATAGTATGTGGAAATTCAGAGTTGCTTCCCTTCTCTGCACCATATTTCCTTGCCTTGCTTCCTCCACTGAAGAGGAGGAAATGGAAGGAGAGGCCTGCTGAATGAGGAGAAAAAAAAAGGGAATCCTCAGTCTTCTAGAAGAGCTCAGACAAATTCTTAAGTGAAGTGGTTGGCAGCACTACCTGGCCACTTGAAACAGAGATCTCCAGCGCTGGCTCAACCCCGAGTCAAGATGGAAAGCCTTGTTCCTCGGCCTTTCTCACCTTCCATTAGGCCCATGTTTGCTCTCTCCTTTACTCCTTTGTTCTTTTCTCTGTTTGTATCTACTTGTGCCCCCAAATTAACTTTGCAATCAACAACTACATTTTCTGAGAGCTACTGTCGTCTAGTTAGTTGATTTGATTAGGATTAAAGTTATTGATATAAAAATAACATGCCTAAGTGCTGAAACTTTTGTGAGCCTGTGCAGGTGAGAGGAGAGTTTCCAGGTAAGAGGTAAGCCTAGCATAAGGTATCACAGCTCAGGAGTGACCTGGTGTGGGCTTTCAGGTCTGGGAGAAGGGAGGGAGTTTCCCCTGCAGAAGGAAGTCCTGGCACATAGTATTAGCTTGAGGGAGTGTTGAGGGGTACCCACATGTGTTCAGGGATGCTCTGCCACAGGGAGTCAGAAGTTGGGGAGGGCATCTGTGCAGGATGGCAGAGCCCAAGTAGGCTGAGAAGGGTGTCCCCAGAAGGACGGCTTGGCATGGGTGTCAGAGGTCAGTGGGGAAGGAGGTAGGACAGTCCAGAATGGGGAGTCACTGGAACAGGATGGACACCTCTGCATCGGGTGGGAGTGTCAGATCACATACAGGGGTGAGTAGTCCATTAAAGGTGACAGGAACCATTTGCAGTTAGGGAAAGGGAGAAAAATGAAAATGAAACAAGGTTGTTGCATTGAAGTTGGATTGTCATTGTGGACTCATGGTTTTTAATAAAGTTAGTGAACCAGATCTAGATGTAAAGGTGGATATGTGTTAAGTGTGCATATGTACATACGTGTATGCGTAGTGCATACTTGCATTCCTTGCCTGTCCATTGGGAGCATGACACCCCAGTAGCAATGAATATATTTAGCACCAGATCTTTGCTTCTAAATATGATTTTCCACCAGTAGGAACCAGGATTTGGGGGAGAAGCTGTCCGCAGGGGTACAGGAGGGGAAGTTCCAGGCTCATTCTGTACATATGGTACTGCCAGAATGCAAGGAGGTGCTCCAAGAATGATGAGGTACATGTCAGAAAGACCCAGAATGTTCAAGGGCTTTCACATCAATCAGGGACAATTGGAGTGTCAGGAGAATGATTACATTGGATCCTACACAGCATAAAATAGAACAATCTGGAGTCCATACTGATAGGAATCAGTAAATGAATACATTTTTAAGCAAGGAACAGGTTATTTTTCCTGGTTTCCAGCTTAGCTTCCCACAAAATACTTAATTAAAAGGGAAAAGAGTGATGTTAGAGTGGAGACCAGTGGTCAGGCAGAGTGTGACCGGCAACAGGACAGACAGCTCTAGGCCACACCTGATAGTGATTGGGAGAACTTCCTCACTTGATTTGCAAGGACAAAACCAAAGAAGCACACTGAAGGTCGCTGGCTGGTAGTTGCCAGAGTTGACAGTAGACCTGGGGTAGACATTTTTCCTAGTGCTTTTCCCAGGAAACATGCCCGCTCAGCAAAACAGTTTGTAAGACTTCCTCTGTCTGATTTGAGTTGTATTTTTGCTATGTATCATATAGTCTACATTTAGACATTATCAGTGATTTATGGAACAAGGGTTTCATGGTCGTTTTGGCTTTAAGTAGGAAAACACTTCTGTTGGTTGCCACAAGATGGCATTGGGCTCAAAGTTACTCTAGTAGATGTGTATTTTGAGTGTTTAGAATGTTTTGTTTCTTATGTCTTCTTATATTTATTTTCATGTTCTTCCTATATTGATTTTAATGGTATGGATATTAAGGTTCCATCTCTAATGTTGGTGAGGGTTTTTTTTCCTTTGCCTGTTTAGTCTTTTAAAAAAATCTTAAAAAAATTTAGATATAACATTTTAAACATTTCAGACATGTAAAACAGAAAGTGAAAGCCCCTTTTAGTGTCATATATATATATATATCATTTGACTCCCAACTACGCATATTTAATGAAAGTCTTATATAACTTTTTTGGATTAAAAGATTTACAAGTTTTTATCCTTTTTGAATTCCTACCATATTCCTTGCTTTTTACAGTTGCTGTTAACAACAATCTCTTCTCTTCCAGGTTGTTTTTGAGCACGTTCACTCTGGCAGTGTCAGCTGGGGCTGTTTTGCTTTTGCCCTTTTCAATAATCAGCAATGAAATCCTGCTTTCTTTTCCTCAGAACTACTATATTCAATGGCTAAATGGCTCCCTAATTCATGGTTAGTATATACTGCTTAATATAATCACAATGAATGCTTTTGTTTTTTTACTGAACTGTATCTTTAGATTTACCTTTTCTTAATTTCCTTCATAATTTGCATCTTCCTCCAATAAACCATGAGTCCTTCATAAAATCAGAAAACCAGATTTTACTTACTATTCCTATTAGTTGTGAAGGCTTTCCTATTTTACTTAAGAAACGGTTTTTATACTTAAAATGATTTTGATAAATTTTCACTTAAATGTTTAGCAAGAGAATTTTGGTTTATCTGGTTATCTTACCTCCATTTAAGACCTAAAAATACGAGTCATAGTTTTCTACTTTATTTGTTGCTAGTTATTTTTGTTATTGAAAAATGTGTAAGTGATAGGGACACATGGGTGGCTCAGTGGTTGAGGGTCTGCTTTTGACTTGGGGCATGATCCTGGAGTCCCGGGATTGAATCCTGGGATCGAATCCCACATCGGGCTTCCTGCAGGGAGCCTGCTTCGCCAACTCTGCCTGTGTCTCTGCCTCTCTCTCTGTGTCTCTCATGAATAAATAAATAAAACCTTTAAAAAAATGTATATTAGGGGAAAATTTCTTTTGTCAAGTACAATCTTTAAAATTAATGTGGTTAAAAAAGTGACTTATTTGCTGTGGGCAACATGGTATATTGCTTGGAGGCCAAATAGACCTGCATGCCAATCTTGACTGCTATTTTCTAGAAATTTTTAGTGAGGTAGGACATTTTAATTTTAACTTATAAAATCTAATACATTGATTTTTAAAATATGTTTCATTGTTTTTCCCTCTTTTATTCTTACTGAATTATGATTTCTTTATGTGTGAAACATACCAGTTTTTTGTTAGATTTTTGTAAATATATTCCAGTTATTTTTCTTCTTAACTCTGCTCGCTTTTTTGATTGGCAGATCAAAAAATGTTGTCCAGTCTATTTTCTTCCTTTGGTATCTCTAATTGTTTTGTTGTTTTTTTAATTTAATTGATTATTCATCAGAGACACAGATTGAGAGGCAGAGACATAGGCAGAAGGAGAAGCAGGCTCCATGTAGGGAGCCCAATGTGGGACTCCATCCCGGGTCTCTAGGATCACACCCCCAGCCAAAGGTGGCGCTTTAAACCACTGAACCTCCCAGGCTGCCCTGTTTTGTGTTTGGAAGATCTTTATCCTTCCTGAGATGCAACAAATCCTCTTCTCTCCCCCCCACCCCATTTTCTAAAAATGATTTTGTTTGTGCATAACTGTTGAATTCATCTGGACTTTATACAGATACCTTTTCTCTCAACCCTTTGTGTTTATTAAAGAAATGCTATGTTTACTGTAGAGTATTTGGGAAACAATATACGGTGAATAAAATTAATGTTACTTACAACAATATACAGTGAAGAAAATTAATGTTACTTACAATCCCACAACCCACAGAGCTATTGTGGATACCTGGCCTGTAGCCTTCGTAGCCTTCTTAGCCTTCCATAATGTGTGTTCATGTGGATACATACATAACCAGATTGGGAACTCTCATGGACTCACTGATAATTTGTATCTTCTCCCATCAAAGTGTAAGGGGAAGGTTTCCATGCCTGTAACTACTTTTCTGTGCAATTTACAGTAGTGCCTGGAGCTGTAATAAGCATGGATTGTTCCTAAATTTTTAACTAAAAAAGCTACAGTATACATCTTCACAAATAAATATTTGCCCTTAGGATAGATTTCTGCAATTCACTTTCCAGGTAAGCACACTTTAAAAGTTTTTGAGAAAATAATTCCTGATTCTGAAAAGCTGTGTGAATTCCACTAGTGGTTTCACTTTCACTGATGGGATATGGGGGGGGTGGAGTGGGGAGGTGGGCCTCCTCTTCCTCTTCGCAGAATGCATCTTCACCAACTGTGGGCAGTACTTAAAACCTGGCAATTCAAGGGGCACTTGAGTGGCACAGTTGGTTGAGTGTCTGACTTTGGTTTTGTCTCAGGTCATGATCTTAGGTTTGTGAGATTGATTCCTGCATCAGGTTCCATGCTTAGCAGAGTCTGCTTGGATTTTCTCCTCTGCCCCCACTCCCCAAAATAAATCTTAAAAGAAAAAACCCTTCCAATTAAAAAACATGAAACATTTCCCCTCTTAAACGTACATTTCTTCAATTACTTGTAAGGATAGACATTTACAAAACATACTCAGAAGTCATTCATATTTATTTTTTAGTAAACTGCCTACCTGTTTTCTTGGCCCATTTTTACAGTGTTTTTCCCCCCTCTTTTTTCAAAGATTTTATTTATTTATTTATGAGAGAGAGAGAAAAAGCACAAGCAGAGAGAGCAGGAGAGGGAGAAGGAGGCTCTCCACTGAGCAGGGAGTCTGATGTGGGGCTCCATCCCAGAACCCTGAGATCATGATCTGAACTGAAGGCAGAGATTTCACCAGTTGAGCCATCCAGGCACCCTGTCTCTTTCTTTCTTTTTTTTTTTTTAATTAAATTCCCTGTAGCTAACATACAGTGTAATATTAGTTTCAGGTGTACAATGTAGTGATTCATCACTAACGTACAACACCTGGCCTCACGACAGGTGCCCTCCTCCATCCCCATCACTTACTTCACTCATCCACCCACCATCCTTCTGGTGACAACCATTTGTTCTCTATAGTTAACAATCTCTTTCCTGGTTTGCCTCTCTCTCGTGTTTTCTTATTTGTTTTGTTTCTTAAATTCCACATATGAGTGAAATCATATGGTATTTGTCTTTCTCTGACTGATTTATTTCTCCTAACATTATACTCCCACTGCATCCATGTTGTTCCAAATGGCAAGATTTCATTCCTTTTTATGCTTGCAATGTTTTTTTAAGTAATTGATTGTCTATCCGAGGTTAATTGCAAACATTTTCCTCCCATTTGTCCTTTAATACTGCTTAAGCTGTTTTTTTGACATAAAAATTTTTAACATTTTTGTTTAATCACATATTTGAATCTAGCCTTTGTGGTTTCTGTTGCATTTGAAGGTAGAAACAAATGGATTCATGAAGCTCTGAAGACCAAATGAATTCAATAAAATTAGGACTACTAATTATTAATCAAATAAGCAATTACTCCTTTTTTTGCTTAGCAATTGAAAAAAAACTCAAATAAACAAACTGAAATTGATACAAAAAATAAATCTTCTACTGAAAAGTCAGCTGTTATTATGAAAGGCAGGAAACAACCTGGAAAGTAATGGCTGTGCATGTTTTGATGAGTTATTTTTAGATACATGTTATTAGTTATTAAAAATATTTTGATAATATATAATTTAGAAAATGGTTTTTGCATGTGTTGTCTGAGATGTTTAAGGAACACTGTTTGGTGTGGTTTCCCTAGCTCTAGCTTTCTGTAAAGCTGTAGGTACTACGGCACATACATTTTGGGCTCCAGGTGTTTTTACCAGCGGTGCAGGTATTCTCAGGCTGGGCTAACCAGTATGACAGGTGAACTGGCCTTTGTTTCCAGTTTTACTAAATAGAAATTGCATGCTATATTTAATGACCTTTCATACTCTAAACCAAGGCCATTTTTTTTTCTGTTTATGGACTGGAAATAAGAACTACTAACACATGACATGCCATATGATTTGGAGGCCTTAACTCTGGAATTAACATCTTTGTTTTTTTTGGGAGTCTTTCTCATTTAATGTAAGGTGTGTAAGCTCAAATATATTGTTTATAAATTAGGGCTTGGAACAATGATTCCCACATAGTGATTGCCTAATAAACATGTTGAATGAATAAATTATGTGATAATTTTAATAATATATTAATATATATAATATAGATAATAAACCACATAAAATAAAATATAATAATAATAATAATAATAATAATAAACTACATCAGCTGGAATTTGGGGAACTAAGGGAAGAACCTTCTAAATGATGTCACTGCTTCTTCTTCTTCTTTTTTTTTTTTTTTAAAGATTTTTATTTATTTATTCACGAGAACACAGAAAGAGAGGCAGGCTCCATGCAAGGAGCCCGATGCGGGACTTGATTCTGGGAATCCGGGAACCCACCCTGAGCCAAAGGCAGACGTTCAACTGCTGAGCCACCCAGGCGTCTCAGGTGTTACTGCTTCTAACTGTACTCTTAGGAATGGGTTTCAGGAGGCATGGGATGTCAGCCTCGGAAATTTTTCCCTAAGGTTGTATGACCCCCAGCTTTGTTTCTGCTAAATCTTTGGTAGGTCTATATCCTTTGCTGCAGGTAGTAAATTTCATAAATCTTTAAATTCATCTTTTTCTTCTAAATTCATAGCTTTCTTTAACCTTGTTGATGACATTTGAGGGAGTGTTTATTATTAGTCCTTTCAATTGTCTTGGGGTTGAAGATTTGTTAACCTTAGACATGCTTGCTTCTTGGCTTTTAAACATTTGTTAATGGGGCCAAATTATGGTACTGCTAAGACATGACCTAAGGTATGCCTCGTGTTCTAGACACACTTTTCCTCACCTCCATTGTGCAGTAGCAGTTCAGTTTGTCGTTGGTAGTCAGAACACTCCCTTCCTTGCTGGTTGATTAAGACACATGAGGACCCCAGAGTTCTGGGCAGCAGTCTAAACTTCCAGTTCAGTGGAATAATTGTTATATCTCCTGGTGGAAACGTTCCTCCCTTTGGAGCTGGAGCCTCTAGATTAGCAGCACTAGTTCACAAGGTTGTAGGAACAGGAGGCAAAAAGTTTGCTAGTGAGTCAGTAAGGATAATAGTGAGTGCCACCACTTCCAATTTCTACCCCTTGATTCCTGGACCTGTGAACCCTGACTGGGAGAAATACTACCATCTATTGAATATAGATTCAGGGCATATACAACCTCCTAGAGTACTTTTCTTTAGCCCTGCGAGGTATTGCCACCTAGCTGACACTGTAATTGAGTCTTTAGAAGGACATTCCACCATTCTGTTGAGCCAGCTGCTTCAGGATGCATGACCAGTGAATTCCAGGGCATGGGCCCATTGTTCTTTTGTTGTGAAGC